GCTTAGAGCTCTGTTTGTTTGCTTCCCTAGACAGATGTTGAAATAGGATCTCCCACCACCAAACTGCCCAGACAACCAAGCAACTCAGTAACCACTTACTAAAGCTAACACTGGCATTCAGTTTCCCACCAGATGAATTATAACATGGTGTACATTGGGTCCATCCAAGTCACTGAAGGTTAGATCTGAAAAGACCTTAGCAATCATCTAAACACCTTGTATGTTATAGCAGAAAGGGAACCCGATTCAAAGACCGGATGCATGGAAGTAAATCTCTACATTAAATGTACATCCTTACTTGAAGAACATTGTATAATCGCCTTCATCTATAAAGGGAAGATCAAAAAAATACTCCTCTTTCTTCCATCATAGGGTTGTTATTAGAATCAAATCAAATATTATACATGCTTCTGTGATGATCAACTTTAAAACGTTGTATATGTAAGAGAAGAAAAGCAAATGCAAACATTTGTTGGCCTAGTTCAGGCTTTTACAAATTCAACTCTATTTAATTGTCCTATAAAATGCATAGCTAAGAGACTGGGAAATTTTTGTATGTGTCCAGATCAAAACAAAGCATAGGGCAGATTCCACAGAGAAATGGTCCATTACTCCCATTTTTAAGTTGTTCTTATGCAGAGCATAGATACCATTGTTCGGCCCTTCCCTTGCTTATGGAAGACACTAATTAATAATGGCTATCTTTCCTTTTTTTTGTATATTTTTTTATTGGAGTTCGATTTGCCAACATATACCATAACACCCAGTGTCCATCCTGTCAAGTGACCCCCTCAGTGCCGGTCACCCAGTCACCCCAACCCCCCGCCCACCTCCCCTTCCACTACCCCTTGTTCATTTCCCAGAGTTCGGAGTCTCTCATGTTTTGTCTCCCTCTCTGATATTTTCACTCATTTTCTCTCCTTTCCCCTTTATTCCTTTTCACTATTTTTTATATTCCCCAAATGAATGAGACCATATATTGTTTGTCCTTCTCTGACTGACTTACTCACTCAGCATAATACCCTCCAGTTCCATCCACATCGGAGCAAATGGTGGGTATTTGTCATTTTTAGTGGCTGAGTAATATTTCATTGTATACATAAACCACATCTTCTTTATCCATTCACTTTTGATGGACACCGAGGCTCCTTCCACAGTTTGGCTATTGTGGACATTGCTGCTAGAAACATCGGGATGCAGGTGTCCCGGTGTTTCACTGCATCTGTATCTTTAGGGTAAATCCCCAGCAGTACAATTGCTGGGTCGTAGGGCAGATATATTTTTAACTCTTTGAGGAACCTCCACACAGTTTTCCAGAGTGGCTGCACCAGTTCACATTCCCACCAACTGTGCAAGAGGGTTCCCCTTTCTCCACATCCTCTCCAACATTTGTTGTTTCCTGCCTTGTTAATTTTCCCTATTCTCATTGGTGTGAGGTGGCATCTCATTGTGGTTTTGATTTGTATTTCCCTGATGGCTAGTGATGCGGAGCATTTTCTCATGCACTTGTTGGCCATGTCTACGTCTTTCTCTGTGAAATTTCTGTTCATGTCTTTTGCCCATTTCAGGATTGGATTGTTGTTTCTTTGAACAGCTATCTTTCAGATGAGCAACTACATGGTTTTAGAATCTTACTCAAGACAGGAAATTATTCCAGGAAGTCACTGACAATTATTTCTCAAAATTAAGTCTTTGATATTGTTGAGAAACAATGAGTTCAGCTATCTCCTATGATAAATCCCATGTAATAAAATTTGTTTCAGTTATCTTTTGTTACTTAACTTACAACCCCAAAACAATGGCAACTAATTTTGTAGGGTGGCTTGAAATTTCCTCAGATGGTGTGGCTAGGATTGCTCATGCAGCTGTATTTAACTAGAGTTCTGGCTGGACTGGAAGGTCTAAGATGGCCTCACTTACAAGGCTCACAGTCAATGTCGGTTAAGGGCTGGGCTTCAGTTCTCCTCCATGTGACCTCTCATCTCTAGAAGACTAGACTGACTTTCCTTAGATGACATCTCAGGGTAGCATTCTAAAAGGTCTTATAAGGTTCAGCTTCAGAAGTCACATAATTTAACTTCTGCCATATTCTACTGGTAAAAGCAAGTCACTAGGATATCCAGCTTCAAGAGCATCAGATATAAATTATATAATATTATGTATCTATCTACCTATCTACCTATATATATGATGAAAGGAACAACAATATACTGGGATGCGAGGAATTTATGGCCATTAAACAATCTACTAGAATCTTCCCTCTTCCCATAAATTATTCATATTCCTCCCACATGTAAAATGCTATTATCTCCAAACTAAGAACTCCAAAAGTCTCATCCTAATTGCCTTAATTATCTATTGCTTCACCAATTATCCCAAAACTTAGCTGCCTAAAACAAAACTAAGGGTTCATTATCTCCCACATTTCTGTCAGTCAAGAATTCAGGAGGTTAGTTGGACACCTTTGTCTCAGGGTCTCTTATGTGGTTTTAACCAAAATGTCAACCAGAGTAGTAGTCACCTGAAGGTTTGAATGGGACCAGAAAATCCACTTTCAAGATGGCCCATTCATATGTCTGTGAACAAGAAGCTTCAGTTCCTCTTTACACAGATGTCCTCCTAAGGTTGGCTAAGTGTTCTCATAATATGGAAGTTAGCCATCCCCAGGGTAAGTGATGTAAGAGAGAGTAAGGGGAAAAAACTAAAGTACCTTTTATGAACTTGCCTTGGAAGATATATATAGTTATTTCTATATCTTGCCCATTACCCAGGCTAACCCCATTCAGTATGGGAGGAGTCTATACAGGAATACCATTTTGGAGGCTGGCTGCCACATCAATTATGGTATTAAGATAACAGTCCAGAATTTTACAATCTGCTTCAGTCTGGATGTAAATGAGTCTCCATAAGTGTGGTTTTCAGGGCAGCAACTCTTAAACATCAGCAACTCCAGAGACCTGTGAACTAAAAAGACAATATGTCTTCCCCAGACACACTCAACATACAACACTGAGATGGGGGAAATGATGGACAATAGACAATACCATTCAGAATGGGATAGCAATACCCACACAGAAGTCATTTATAGCACTTCTGATATCCAGCTGTCACATGTTGTCAGCTCCTCACCCTGGGGGTGAGAAGTGTTCCTGGATTAGCAACACCTTCTTCTGCCTGAGAGTTGTCTCGCTGTTCCCCTCAGCTTTTCACTCTCCCTCCTGAGCTCTAGTTCTAGCTTTCTAAAAGGCTATTCTTTTTATATAGGAAATGGTTTGTGCTCGTATCTGAGCAGCTTTCTCAGGAGCTTATGCTTCCTGCTTCCCACAAGCCTCTTTTCATTTGAACTATCTCTACCTCTCTCAGTTCAAATTAGCAAAGTGCAAGCTACCAATGCTACTGACATTATAATTCTCTTAAAATTTTTGTGGGTTTCCCACGATCTCATCCACATTCACTCCATGTCCCCCAAAGCCAAATCTATCATTCTTTTTAAGACCTCTTTATATTGCAGAGAAGTCCACTTCTTTGGGACAATGCCACTGAGATCATTAGAAGCTTTTTCTAGCTTTCTGGACACCTTAAATTTTATGAGATCTTAACAAAAGGCATTGCAGCCACACACTTGATCTTCGTCCTGAAGCCATTTTTTATTTTGATAATCTTCTGCCAGATGTAGAGACAGGAAATATAAAGAACTATTACTTTCCAACCTAGCAAGTCCTTGTTCTTTTATATTTTCTTCAAATTCTGCTTGCAAATGCTACAGTTATTAGCTCACCTCTCTTCCCTACTTTATCATATGCAGTTGAAGACACAATCTGGTATTTTTATCTTTCTGCTTCAATATCTCCTTAGCCAGATCCAACAAGTTTATGAGGCAAATTTCTATTGTGCACATTCCTACAGTCTGCCAGGTTATACCAAAAATTGTCTTTTCTTACTTTGTCTTCAATAACCATTTCCTTTCTGCTCCTCTATCCTCTTTTCTCTCTTCTCTTTCCAGCCTCTACTCACCACCTACGTCCAAAGCCAATGCCACATAGTTGAGGTTTTTCTTATGGCAGCATCACACTTCTAGTTAGCAATTTGCCTCAGTTTTCTATTGCTGTATAACAAATCATCCAAGATTCGGTGGCTTAAAACGACAGTGCTTTAGGATATCTCACAATTTTGTTTTGGCTAGGTCATTCTTCTGAAGGGTTTTGGAGAACTCACTCTTTTATTTTTGATTTCCACATTTTCAATTGTCACAATTGGGTGGGGGTTGTCATGGTTAGAGGCCCAGGATGTTGCTACACATGTTACAGTGCACAGAACTCCCCACAACAATGAATTATATAGCCCAAAATGTCGATAGTGCTGAGATTGAAAACTCTGTGATAAGTATTTTATATGCAATATCTTCTTTAATCTTTATAATAGTGCTATTAGTAGGTAAGATCCTCATTATTTACAAAAGAGAAAAGTAAAGCCAATTCGAGTTAAATTATCTTAACAAGATTACATGATTAGCAGAGGGCAGTCAGAGCTTTAATACATATTATATGCCTAAACTCTTAACTATGATACTATTTGATGTGCATTCCACTTGGATTGTTGATCTTCATAAAAGATCAGATTTTTCTAAATATTAAAACCATACCAGGCAATAGTCTAATCTCTCCACCAATGACTTCTTCTTTGAGTTTTTCCATTCTATCTTAGCTGCTTTTCCTAGAAATAGAGCCTGAGGCAAGGATTAGCAGGAATGCGTTACTTAGGAGGTACAGTACTATTGCTGTAAAAGTGAACCAAAAGAGAAGTGAGGCAGAGAATGGGAAAATAATGCAAGGTGATACATTACAGAAAGGTACCTATATGAGGCAGCTAAATGGGATGTCTTAGGCTACTCAGAGTGGGGATGCTCCTTAGTTCAGTCCATTGGAGGGAAAAAGGGAGAGGAAATTTATTTGCCAGATCCTTCACATCTCCTGAGTTCCACTGCTCTGTTTGCCTTCTAGGGGTTTAACTCCTCCACACTCCCAGCCTGCCTCAACCCCTGCAGCAGCTGCTCAGGAAGTCAGATCTCACACCTGCAGCTCAGTCTTCATCTGAGTCCAGAAGTTCAGGAGACAGGTGAAGGCAAGAGAATCTGAGGTATGACCTAAGATGTGTCTGATATACTCTTCAACATGCTCCCCCATCACTGGAAGGAAACCTTTCTGCCTTGCATGAACTAAGGTATCAGTTGGGATTCATTAAGATTTAGAAGGTAGACAACCCAGATCAAACAAGCTAAAATGCTAAGAAAAGAAGGGAAGTTATTGGCTCGTATATCTAAAAGTCCAGAAGATCAGCAAGTTTCAGATTTCTGACTCAGTCGTGTGATTCCAGTGGTATGGCCTTGAAGTTCTCATGGCTAAGCCTCCTTCCATGAGCCAATTTTATATTCATACTGGTAGTGACATGACCTTAGTAACCCTAGGTCTCTCACCACATATGACTATATCCCGATATGCAGAGGAAGAAATGAACTTTCTCCATTTGATTCTCTTATAAGTGAAGACATTTTCCTAAAGCGCCCCGCAGGGAGCTCTCCCTTGCAGTTCTCATTGCCCAAGTTGGGTGTGGTCCATTTCTCAATAATCCCCATTTAGAGGGGCCTCAGGCACACTGATTGGTGGAAGCTTGGATTCTGGACCAATCATTGTCAAGAAAGAGGGATTACCGCCACAATTTACACCAACCAGGGCCCACCTCCTGCACTGGGATATCCTTTAAACTACAACACTATAAAATGGAGGTGGAATACAGAGGCAAACTTGACATCAAAGAGAAAACCACCATGTCTACAGAAGACAGCCTTCCAAAGCTCTTAAAGACACAAAAACCAAGCTGCCATCTGCATTTCTTAGAGTTATCATGAGGTCCTGACTCACTTCAAATGCACTTCTTCAGGGATCTTGCTGTTCTTCCCCCCCACCCTCCACCCCTCAGGAAGCCATCTCTCCACCATCCCTGCCTTTGATGGCCTTATTCTCAAGCTAATCTCAAAGGCTTTCCCTGATGGTTCACAGTCAGAAAACATAGGCTATAGAAAATGAAGATTTTAGAATTAGTAGGGATCTTAGAAACCTAGATCGGGTTTCGTCATACTGTATGTTATGGAGTCCCAAATGCTCGGTAGAGTGCTGTCAGATATGGCCTTCAAGGACTAAAGGGAAGAGCTAAAGAGTGTGGCTCTGGACACTCTGCACTCACCCAACCAGGGTACTCATTTGATTTAGTTTGAATTGAATAATCAAATCAAATTTGAATTTATTTATTTTACATAGTTGCATATTTTGTTTTAAGATTAACTTTCCTTTATAGAAAGAATTTCTTGAAAATGGGAAGGAAGGTTCCAAACAAAATCCATTTATCATAAAAGTGAGAAAACTGAAGCTCAGAGAGGGGTCTGAGGCATGTTTTGAAGGTCATGGTGCTAATCTGAGCCTCATCCTCAGGACCACTATGCCGTATTTGGAAAGATCCATTCTATGCCTTCTGAGTCTTATCTTTTCCAGAGCCAATAGCCTAAGCTCTTGGAAATCTTGCTCACAGAAAGACATTCCAAGTCATCCCACCAATTCATAGTTCAACTCCTTGTTAAAATCACACAAAATTGTGTAGTGCCAAGAAATGAACATGATGACTCAGATGCATCTGAGCAGCAGAGAGAAGACCAGGACTACCTCGTTCCCCATCAGAACGCTGAACTCCTAACAATGCAGCCAGGGATCACATTAGCTACTTGGCAGGCACAAAATACCATTGCCTCATACTGTCCATTAAAACTCTTAAGACATTTTTTCATAAGCTGCTGCAAAGACTTTTCTTCCCATTCTGTTCTCAACCACTTGTTTACTTAGACCCAATTTCAGGACTTAACATTTATTTTACTTAGTCTAAGAATTGGCAATTATAAGTGTCCAACTCTGTACATTTCTAGGCAATGAGAATTCTAGGACAGGAGTAGCAAACTCACCTCCCTATAGAGGGACCAGCCAGGGAGGGAGGGACGTAATGTCAGTAAATTAAGGCAGCCAGGTACAAGTCAAACCTGTGATATAAGAACTCTGGTAAGCTGGAAAACACAGCCCTATCTAAGGAGACAACATCTACTCAGCTTCAGCTCATTTTTGCATTACTATGCAAAAATCAAGCCCAGCATTGCTCTGTCTTCTGATTTTGTAAGAGAAGCCAGAAATATGGATATTTACTGGAAATATCCAGTCTTAAATGTTGGCCACTAATTTAAAAAGTTCTAATATAATCTTTAGGCCAAAGAAAATACATCTGCAGGCTGGGTTTGCCCATAGACTCCAAGCTTACAACCTTTGCCCTGTGGGGATGAGAGAGTGAGGCAGCACTGGTTATTGAGACAAAAGTATAAGATGATGTATTATCATGGATTTAATAGCATAACATTTATTTTTAAGATTCCCTTGTTAATCACATGCTTGGGCATTTTAAAACTAAAAAGAATCTTGGAGATTATATTGTTTAATTTTCTTATTTTTACAGAAGAAGAATCTGTGATGCTCAGAGAAGTAACTTGGCATTTAATTAAATATATTTCAGTGAAATGAATAAAAAAATAGATTCTCAGAAATAGAAGGAGCTGGCATGGTCCCCCAGTTCAGGGTTTCTCAACCTCAGCACTATTGACATTTTGGACTGGTTAATTATTGTGGGCACTATCCTGTGCCCCGGAAAATGTTTAGCAGGATCCTGGCCTCTACCCACTAGATGCCAATAACACCTCCCCACAGTCTTGTGGGGCAAAATGGAGGCAAAAATATATCCATATATTGCCACATGCCCCTGGGGAACAAAATCACCACTGCCATTCACTGACTCCTTTGTCTTACAAATGAAGAAACAAAGCCTCAGAAAATTGAAGTTTTGTTGAGGTTACATGGGGAGTTATTGGCACAGCTGGTACTAAGTCTCAGGTATCTTAATTCCCCATAGAGCACTCTCTTCTCTAGGTCCTGAAAATCTGAACTACAATTTCATCAGCAAAAGAGCTGTCTAAAATTGCATTTTTTTAAGTTAAGAGGCAAGATGATAGTGAGGAGCACAGCATCTAAGACTAACATAAATGAACTTCAATCTTACCTATTCTACTTACTAACTTTGTCACACTGACCAAATTAACCTCTGGATATTTGTCTCCTCATTTGAAAAGGTGATTCTAAGAGATAAAGGGTTTTTTTTTTTTTTTTTTTGATCTGTTTATTTATTTGAGAGAGAGAGAATGGGCAGGGTGAGAGGGAGAGAGCCTCAAGCAGACTGTCCATTGAGTGTAGAGCCCAGTGCAGGACTCAATCTCATGACTCATGCATTCACGACCTAGGCCAAAATCAAGAGTCAAAATCTTAACCATCTGAGCCACCCAGGTGTCCCAGAGATAAAGTTTAGTTTTTAAAATGGTGGTAAAATGTATATAGTGCTTGCCACATAATAGGGACCAGTCAATGAAAGTAGTTATTTTATTATACTCATAGTTATTACCTGGCCTGGGGCCATCAAACTACAGCCTCCAAACAAAATCTTTCATGTCTTTTTTTATATGGCCTATGAGATAAGAATGATTTTTACATTTTTAAATGGTTTTTAAAACGTTTTTAGTTATATTATTTATTTTTTTTTAAGATTTATTTATTTGAGAGTGAAAGAGAGCATGTGCACACCAGGTGGAGGGGCAGAGGGAGAGAATCCTAGAGAAGACTCCCCACTGAGCTAGGAGCCCAATGTAGGGCTTGACCTCACAACCCATGAGATTGTGACCTGAGCTGAAACCAAGAGTTGGATGCTTAACTGACTGAGCCACCCAGGTGCCCCCTAAAATAATTTTTATAAATACTGTTTCATGATAGATAAAAAATCATGTAAAATCAAATATCAGTGTTCACAAATAAAGTTTTATTAGAACACAGCCATGCTTATTCATTTACACATAGTCTATGGCTGTTTTCACAAAGCAGAGTTGAGTAGTGCAACCTAGATCATGTGGCTGGCAAAGTCTAAGATATTTAATGGCCCTTTATAAGAAAAGATTGCCGGTCTCTTAACTAGATCTTTGATCTGCAAGGAGAAAACAGGCAGCCACAATTTGCACAGAGCCCTCTGATGTATGGGAGGAAATATAGCAAAATAATCCATCATTGCTTTTTGGTGCTCCGTTGCTATTCTAGTGCCTCTAACCATGTGTTCAACTCTGTTCACCTGAGATATTTCTCAGCATCTGTGTGCACCTAGTATTTTCAGAAATAGTTGTCCGAGGGACACGAGAAACCTTTACTTTTTATATGTGTTCTCTTTTGAATAAATCCCATTGTAGACTTGATACTTAGAGGTATTTTTCAAAATCTGGAATATTTATCAGAAAGAAAGGAAATGGTTTGCTCAGTGTTAAGCCAACCACATATTTTAAGTGTTGCATGATTTGGACAGGACAATAAAGAAGGATATCCGGCAAAAAGGAAAAATAGATATGAGTTATCTGCCAAGACTAAAATTTAAGAGATGTTGTCATATCACCTTTATGTGTGTGTGTGTGTGTATATATATATATATACACACACACATATATATATGTATGTGTGTATGTATATATATATATGTATTTTATATATAAAATACGCTGAGCATCTTTGTTTTTATTTAACCTGACTATAGGCCAAGGGTTTAAAAATCAGGATACCTGTTTATAGTCCTCGCCTTGCCACTAACTAGATTTGTGGTTTCTGGAATTTTTTTTCAACTCAATACAAAACATATATTGACTGTCTAATGGTGCCAGATGCTGGGCTGGGCATCAGAAGTGCAAAGATAAATCGGACATGGTCTTTGCCCTCAAAGATTTCGCCAAGGGTGTGTTTAAGTCATTGAAGTCCTGTGAGGGTCAGTTTTCTCATCTGGAAGTGTAAGGCACTGAACTAAATATTTCACCCACTCTAGAAACTGATATTGACTTCCTTTGTCTTGCCATACCCTCTAATAACAAAGAATAAAAATAGAACTGTATCATTATCATCATTCAATTTTAAAGAATGCCTAGTCACACTCTGTGAAGTAGTTCACAGGTAATTATATTACAGTATAATAAATGCAAAATAGGAGTATGAAGCACATGAAATGAAGCTACCAATTTTTTTCTGAATGAAGAAAGGCAGGCTTCACAGGACAAGTAACATTAGTAAACTGAATGATGAACAATGAATAATGATGAGTTCATTGATGATGTGGTATGTTGGGCATTCTCATCTATGAGAAGGGGTAAAGCCAAACCAAAACAAATGTAGGAGATGAGGAAGATTGGCCAAGAGAGATAGTCCCTCCCCAACTAGAGCTGGCAATTAAAAACCAAGGAAGATGAGCAAGATTCAGTCTAATCCAATCTAAGACCAGGGAGAATTTGATACAAATAGGGGAGGAGAGCTATGTCATTCAGGCTTCAGGATGGTTAGTGTTCTTCATGCCACAGGTAAACTAAAAAGGTTCACTCTACAGGAGATGATGGAAGTCAGGCACAAGGCTCCCCAGGGGAGAGGGGTGATGAATACCAGGAGAGTGTCAGGCCAGTAGATGACTACTCAGTTTTTGGGATTTTGTTCTGGACCAGTAGGACAGAAATAAGTACCCAGGCTCAGAATCAAAAGACAGCACCACCATGCTCATGGGTGTCTGGAATAAGGGATGCACATGTAAAGGTACAGATTATTCCCAGACCTCATGTTTACATGGCAAGAGAGCTTTACATGGCTTGTCAGTCCTGGGGATCATAATCTTGCTAGAGTGGGTACCATGGCAGAAAGCTCAGGCATTGAAGGGGCAGGCAGGATTGGTTGCAAAGATAGAGAAGGAGGAGAGGTCTTTATAAATGGAAGCACAACATGTGCAAAAGCACACAGATGCACTTCTAACTCTTCAACAACCCAGACACTCCCCTTCTTGCCTTCCAACTTGTCATCTGCAAATGTATCTATAACACAAACAAGAGAGGCCCCATCATGCCTCTCCATTTGTTAAGTCCTAAGTAATTTGGCAAGGGATGTAGGATTCATACACATCGTTTAATGCTTTCCTGATTCAACTTAACTAAATTCCAAACTTTAATCCCATTGTACAAGGCTCTGGATATAGCCAGACCTGCCTTCTTCAGGAAGGATCCCTTGACATTCAGACCCTTGACTCTCCAGAAACTTTGGATGCCTCTGCCTGACTTGATAGCCACATCTTCCCCATTTCCCATTACAACATCACTCCACTTACTCCTCCATTTCCAAAGGTCCCCTGTACATGCCTGTCCCACTGCAGACAGTTCAGAGCACACCTGGCCAAAGCTAGTTATTGACCTCCTGTCCCCACCCCTCCACATGGGACCAAGGTTTTACCAAGCTCCCCAGTGTGCTGTGCCAAAGCCTTCCTCTCTACCCACCCCCACACTCAGCCTCCACTCTACTCCTAGGCCATAGTGCACTTGGGGGAAATTCAATCCATATGTTTCCTTTTCTTCCTACAGAACGCATCCAGCCATTGTTTAAAGAGGGAGGCAACAGCCAAGAAGAGCCACGTGAGGCCTGTCTTAGCCTTCCAATCCTTCATTAGGGAGCAAGGAAAGAAGAACTTTGCCAAGAGCAAACCTGAAACATTCCTTTGGGTTTGGTTCAAAGACTGCAAGTCCATGCTTCCACACAAACGTGTTCCTAGGACTGAAGACTTAAGGCACTGTTCAAAGGATCTCTTGGGCATGAGGAGATGAGAATAGCCACCACCACCACTGGCCCGGCTCTGAGATGTGTGTGAAGGGAATCCATTCGTAGGAGGCTCTTTTACATGATTACCTTCCAAAGCTGATATATACCCTCTCTGAGAATATCAATTCTTCCTAATTATAAGCACACACTACTACAGATCAACAATATTACAGTTCAAAGAAACCTGAGATATGCATTAGGTGTGTCTCAATTATCTCATTTTAAAATAAAAGAAAACAGACTCAGGGAGGGCAGGGACTTGCTCAAGGTCAAACTGCTGATCAGTGTTTCATGAAGAAGCCAGGACTTGTGATTCCAAGTTCAGAGCTTTGGAGTCAGTGCTTCATGCCCTGACCTCATAAGATGCTAAGTGCCTAATACAGACAAGATTCATTTTCTTTTCTTTTTTTTTCCTCTCTCTCGGCTTTTGTTTTGTTTTGGGTTTGATTTTGGTTTCGGGGTTTTGTTTTGTTTTTACCATCACAAAAGTTTGGTTTTGTTTAAGATCGTAGATACAAAGAACAGATTAGTGATTGCCACAGGCTGGGCATGGGAGGCAGGGGGTGGTGTGTGTGAGTGAAATGGGTAAAGTGATAACTGATATAAATGTACAGTAATAAAAGTAAGTCATGGGGATGTAATATATAGCATGGTCACCATAATAATGGACTGTATTTTTTTTCATTTTTTAAAATTTAAATTCAATTAATTAACATATAGATTATTATTAGTTTCAGAGATTCAGAGTGCAATGATTCATCAGTCTTATGTTAACATCCAGTGCCCATTACATCATGGGCCTTCCTTAATGCCCATCAACCTGTTACCTCATCCTTCCTACCCCTCTACCCTCCAGCAAAATTCATTTTCATGTTTAGCCTTCCTGGCTTATTCTGGACCAATCCTTTTTAAAACTTTTCTTTAGGGACACCTGGGTGGCTCAGTGGTTGAGCATCTGGCTTTGGCTCAGGGTGTGATCCCAGGATCCAAGATTGAGGTCCTCATCGGGCCCCCTTCAAGGAGCCTACTTCTCCCTCTGTCTATGTCTCTGCCTCTCTCTCTCTCTCTCTCTCTCTCTGTCTCTCATGAATAAATAAATAAATCTTAAAAAACAAAAATAAAATAAAACTTTTATTTATTTATCTATCTACTTTCTTGTGTGTGTGTTTGGGAATTGGAGGGAATTCTTTGAACCCACCAGCTAGGGACTCTTAGATATCCTAATAAATGTCTATATAGGCTTTCCTTAAATAATTTTGAAGACCAGAGCTCATTGCCCTCTATATTGGCCTATTCCATCCTTGGGCAAGCTCTAGTTACTAGAAAGTTCTTTCTCACATTAAGCAGAAGTTTGCTTCTCTAGCATTTTCCCCACAAACTCATATGCTTACTATGATCTCCCAGATTTGCTTTCAGTAGGTGCCAAGTAGGGAGGTTCCAGTGCTCTTACAGAGTGAGCACTACCTTGCCAGCGTAACAGCACCTTTATCACCATCACCCCTGGGGCTTCTGTCTTTACCCATAATCCCATCAGGGAGGGTCTTCTTTTTTTTTTAACTGAGATGTAATTAACATAGAACATTTAAAAAGTTTCAGGTGTACAACATAATGATTAATATATATATATATATAGTATGTATTATATATATATATATATATATATATATATACACAGTGAAGTGATCATCACAGTAAGTTGAATTCACCTCTATCACCATACATAATTATAAATATTTTTTTCTTATGGTAAGAACTTTTAAGATCTCAGCAACTTTCAAATATTCAATACAGTATTATTAACTATAGTCACTATGGGGAACATTACAACCCCAGAACTTATTCATTTTATAACTGGGAATTTCTGGCTTTTGACCCCCATTACCCATTTTGCCCACCCTCCACCTCCCACCTCTGGTAACCACCCATCTGCTCTTTGTATCTATGACCTCAGGGGTTTTGTTTGTTTGTTTATTTGGGGGACAGAGTTGTTTCTATTCTACATATAAGTAGCTGATATATTATTTGTCTCCCTCTGTCTGATTTATTTCACATAGCATAATGCCCTCAAGGTCAACCCATGTCCGTACAAATGACAGGATTTTCTTCTTTTTTATGAGTGAACAATACTCCATTGTATGTACGTATATGACATTTTCTTTTTCCATTCACCTGCTGATGGACACTTAGGTTGTTTCCAAGTCTTGGCTATTGTGAATAATGCTGCAATAAACATGGAATTGCAGGTATCTTTTTGAGTTAGTGTTTACGTTTCCTTCAGATAAATACCCAGAAGTGTAATTGCTGGATCTCATGGTGGTTTTAATTTTTTATTGTATTTTTTATGAACATTGTGATAGTTGAAGACCCAAGATTCTATTAACTAAGATCCCATCAGAATCTAAGAAAACACTAACAAGCATTATAGTAAAAATGTATTTTATGGGGCACCTGGGTGGCTCAGTGGTTGAGCGTCTGCCTTTGCCTCAGGTTGTGATCCTGGGGTCCTGGGATCGAGTCCCACATCAGGCTCCCCATAGGGAGCCAGCTTTTTTCTCTTCCTATGTCTCTGTCTCTCTCTGTGTCTCTCATGAATAAGTAAATAAACTCTTTAAAAAGAGAGAGAGAGAGAGAGATGCAAGTAAGGAGGAAAGGTAGAGGCTGGATTCCAAGGAACCCTGCAGATAATAGTGGTTATGGAGCATAATGTCTTTAAAAAAAAAAAATAAAAATATATATATATATATATATATATATATATATATATAGGAACTTCAGAGTCAAGCAATAAATGTCCAAATCCCAAATTCTATAGCAATTGTTGGAGAAGGTGTTTAGCCTTCAGCCATTAACCAATCTAAATCCCTATCTCATCATCTGTAGAATGCAGATCAAAACATATTTCCAAGGATAGAACGAAATTGTAACAAATATAAAGTGTGTGACACACTGACCAACAAAAATAAAATTTCTGTCTCCCACACAGAAGATGAAGCCTAGGAAGCAGACCATTGCTCTGCCCTTTGCCAGTCTATTCTAACACCCGATGGCTCTTTGCCTCTTGACAGGGGAATCCTGAAAATTAGAACCTCAAAATAATCAAATCCCATGGGCTTAAGCTCCAGTTTGGCAGTTATGAAAGGATATATTCCTTTCCTTCAACCAGTGAGCACAGTTTCATTCTTCCTACATATACCTTGCCTTGGGCAAAAATGAAACAAACCCAGATATCAAGATGTTCATGAGGTGGGATGGGGGCGTGGGGAGCAGGACACCAGTCTCCTAGTGTGCTAGGGTATTTGCACAGCTGCAGTCAATTAGATGAAACTGTAATTGTTTTATACTTTTGCTCAGTGCTTAATCCTGGAGAAAGAAGAATGGATTGTTGATTTTCCTTTTTCATCTTTCAGTATTTTTGTTTTGTTTTTATTCTCATCATAATATTTAGATAGTATTTGTGTAAGGAAAAGCAATCATAATGAAATGGATAATCAAATAGAGTGCTCTAAGGCACATTTACAAGAGCCTTCATCTTAGAAATGCTTCATTTACTCAGACAGTGGGCAGCCAAGGGCATGGGAAAGTCTGTTTCTATGGACAGGGAAGTGATCCATGCCAATCAGCTAGAGGGTTCCTTTTTCAAAATGCTCCATATACAACACATAGCATAATAAATCACATCAACAAGCAAACAGGAGGCACCATAAGCCTTCCAGGTGCTGAACCCATGCTAAGGACTGGAGGTGCCAAAATGAGTATGAGCCTCAGGGCCAGGATGAGGGTAAGGAGAGTGAGACATGTGCTTTAGGAACAGACTTTAAGGGGATGCTCCCAAAATTTCAGTTATCAAGATTAAAAAAAAATTGTAAAGCAATATTTTAAAAAAGAAAACTTAATGAAACAAAAACCCACAGTGAACAAAATATCAAAACTTTGGTATGTTTTTACTTTTGATTATTAGATGAATGTTCATTTAGACTGTGCAAAATTTTAGGAAAGCCACTCCTGGAGTTAAGAAACAAAAACATTTATCTTACAAATCATAAAAAGCTACCTCAGTGCTGAATCCAAAAAATACAAGATGGAGAAAGGGCAAGAAAAAAGATACATGAAAGCCAAAAACATATGACACAAGACAATTATAAAAAGAACTTTAAGTGTTTTAAATCTTCCCCCTTTAAAAACTGAAACTGATAGTAACTTTTAAAATAAAATCCCTTGATTTAAAATTTGGGAATTAGATTAAGAGTCAAAAAATATTCATTTCCTTTGACCTAAAAATCATACTACAGGGAATTTTCAAAAGTATAACTGAAATGTGGAAAATGTATCATTTGTAACCAAAAAATATTAAAAGAACACTCAACAAAATATTATTCAGTCATTAAAAATAATGGTCATGACATCTAATGTTAAAAAAATGATGAAACAACATAATGAAGTGAATAAAGTAGGAAGCATAAATACATATACTGCAGTAATAGTTACATAAGACGTCACAGAAAACAAAGGTAAACATGTTAAAATTATAATAGTGTATTTATTTTGATAGTAGAAATCTGAGTTTATTTCCCTTCCTTTCTTCCTTCTTTCCTTTTCTTCTTACTTCTTTCCTTTATTTTTTCCCTTTATTTTTCCCACCTTCCTGTTTTCGGGAATTATATGTTGTATTTTGTGGTGTATACTTTAATATTATATGGCATCATTCAGGGTCCAGGCAGGGAACAGGTGGCAGACTCAGAGATCATTGAAAATTTAATTATAAGAATACTTTCAGAGCTGTGAGCAGAGTTAAAGGAAGCATCAGGAGATGATAAAATACAACGTCTAGCAACAGCTGGGAGCTGTTACTATTTTTAGGTCAGAAGAAGAGGAAGGAACAGTTTCTAAAAGTAAGAGAGAACTGTAGCTAGGAGAAAGTGTTCAGGAGGAAGAACAGCCACTACAAAATCCCGGTACAGGATGAGAAGAAATAGTCTGGTCACTCTCTCTTCCCCTCTTCCTGTCTCCTGCTGGTATCTGCCACTGGCTGAGTTGAGCGAATGCTAGAGGACAAGGGAACCTACATAATGAGGTCTGCTGAGGTAAGCATCTCAGGGTACAGAGGAGGTAAGGACAAAGGTGAAAAGTACATCTGGAGGGACAAAATCACTATATCATTTTATTTCTAAAATGTATAAATTAAGTCGATTGCATTTGAAACTCACTTTTCTAATCCATCAAAAACAAATAAAAGTAATTACAACCTTAATTTACAACACTTACAACTCTTAATTTAAGTGTCCAACTCTTGATTTCAGCTCAGGGTTGAGAGATGGAGCCTTGCATCGGGCTCTGTGCTCAGTGGGGAGTCTGCTTGAGATCCTCTCTCTCCTCTGCCTCTGCCCCTCCCCACAACTCGCACACTCAGGGACTCACTCTAAAATAAATTAATTAAATAAATAAATAATCCCTACCTTATAAGGTTACTGGGTAACCCTGAAAATCGTCAATGCTGTTGTTTTGTCATTATTATTATAATCATATAGTGATTATAGTAATAATGATAGTGGAATTAGTAGTGATAGTGTGGCCATGGTGGTGGTGATAATGCTGGTGGTGATGGTGTTGATGGTGCATATAATAGTGACAGTTGTATTGATGGAGGTGGTGGTGATGGAGGTGGAGGTGGGGACGGGATGGTCATAGTGATGATGCTGCACACATGACAGTGGTGATGACGGTTGTTGTGTCATTGACACCTTATCCTTTTACATGAAATGTGGGTTTCCTATGTTATCAAATGCTACCTTTAAAGTGCATACAGCTCTATTCACAAGTAAGTAATGGCATTAAATATATCTTCTCTGATATCAGGTATGATCAAATGGTAAGACATTGATCCCTCAGGACCCATCTCTATGACACTTCTTTAAACTATGGAAAAAATTAACTCAATCCAGCGTACATTCACTGGGAAGTTACTACATGGCATATTCAGAAAGAAAGTTTCTATCTTCATCGTCTCTACAGCTGACAAGGACAGAAAGTAGACAGACATACAATACTGTGAACACAGCCTGTGAGCAGTGCCTGGTTGAGCGCCTAGCACCTACTGACCCTGAAAATATTTACTTAAGGAGTACACAAAAGCTCTATGGATTATTATGGTAATCCAAACCAGCTTGATCATGTAGAGAGAATGAAACTGAGCACTTAACTATTCTAACTACTTCACATGTTTCAACTCAGTAAATCTCAAGTCTTACAAAATAGATACTAATATTATTCCCATTTTAACAGATATGGCAATGGAGGCATTCAATTAGTTCTATGTTGGAAGACTCAAAAAGTTCTGTGTTGTACAACCAGCAGGAGAATAACTTAGAATTCAAACCTGGAAAAAAAAAAATCAAACCTGGAAATCTCAGTGCTAGAGCATGGACTCTTTCTCCTAATGTCCTCAGAGAAGGCTTCATGGTAGAGGAGGTACAATTAGAACTGAGCAAAGAGGAAGGGATAATGATTGGAAAACTCTAAAGAGAGCCATTTAGGGCATAGAAAATAGCTTTTGGCAAAGACCCAGAGGGAAACCACAGAAGTAGTTTGAACGATACTCTCAGAGATAACTTTCAGGAAGACAACCTGGGCCTCAAGACACCGGTAGATTGCAAGGACTCATGTTTGGAACAATGAAATAAAGAGAGAACAAGTTGGAAAAAGTTATCCTGGATTCCTTGGGACCACAAAGGATGTCTTACTTGTCTTCAGAGGGATCTCTCTCCAACATTAATTTGCAAATGTGAGCAGTAATGGTGAGAGGACACACCATTGTCAATTTGATGCTCTTTTTGTTGTAACTCTAACAGCACAGCCACACCTGGGGCAAGCAGTGATGATCCTGACCTATACATAGGAGGTAGTATTGGGTGTGGGCAGAGGAGCAATAATAATACAGAACAAAGAAGGTCCAAGATGAGAGCAATGTCTCAAGCCCAGGAAGGAATGGAATAGAAAACCAGAGCCTGGCTAGGTTTCACAGGAGAGCATGGCTAGGCTCCAGCAGAGGGCAACTTGGGGAAATTTCTCTGCAGTTTCCTGTTTCCCAGCTGCCTTTTATTGGCTCAGCCCACCTGCTCCAACCCTGCTCTCTGCCCAGCACCTAAAGGCACAGCAGCACCTCTGATTGTTTCTGCTACATTAAGACTGGCTGGAAAAGATGAAAATTCACCCTACCTCAGGACAGGAAGATGAATGAGTTACAGGGAAATTATTTTAAACTCTCCTCAAAATAAAAACTATAATATCAGGGTGGTCAAGAATACAAAAGAAAATATATACACAGGCAGAAAAAGGCATGAGAAAAAACCTCTGTGCATGTGTTTTCATTTGGCTAGGTTTCTTTCAAATAAAAATGTTGTTGGGAAAATATTCTGAGTGAGAATTTCTTTTTTGGCACCAAGTTGGCTGTGTTTGGGCTCCCTTCGCAGAACACCAGGGCACTTCAAACCAAGTGCAGGATGTTGAGTGTGGTTACCTGCCATAAGCCTTGCTGCCAGCCTGGACTTGGCATGTGACTTGAATTCCTCCCCACGTTCCCTGGCCATTTCATCCATCTTCTTTGACAGGTGGCTTGGGGACCCTGCTCTTGCTCAGCCAAGTGACTTTACTTCTTGCTTGCCTCAGTTTCCTCATTATAAAATGCAGTTAAAATGGCTTGCTCAATAGCCTTCACCAAAATGAAGAGCTCATTCTTTGTTTAGGCTGTAGGGGGCACGTGAGTGCATGGACAGATCACTTATAGGTGTCTGGACAGGAGGTGGGACATTTTCAGAGGGATGCTTCTCATAATTGGGGCAGTTGGCAACTTCCAAATGCAGTTTGGTCAGGGGAAGGTGGGAATCAAAGGAAATTTACAACCAATGGAAATTTTTAAAAACATATATTGGTTACCTCTTCTAGGGAGAGACGCCAAACAAAATTAAGGGGCCCTTTTAATAGTACCAGTGTGACAGTCATAGTTGAAGAATTTCGTTTTCATCCATTTATTCATTTGTTTAATTTTTTGAAGTATTTTTTAAGGATTTTATTTATTTATTTATTTGAGACAGAGAGAGAGAGAGAGAGAGGGTGGGGAGGGGCAGAGGAAGGGAGATAATCTCCAGCAGACTCCTGCTGAGCACAGAGCCCAACATGGGGTTTGATCTCAGAACCCTGAGATCATGACCCAAGCTGAAATCAACAAATACTTAACCCAATGAGCCACCTGACACCCCTCATTTATTTAATTTTTAATAAATATTTAGTAAGTGTCCTCCATACTCTCAGGCACTAACTTAGTACTGGATTATAATAGTGAAAAAAATCAAAGGGATGCATCCATTCCCCAACAAGTCTTGCCTTTCAGTGAAGGATGCAGACATTAAACAAATACATATATACATACATATAAGTTCCCATAGATGCTATTCCTGGAATGGAATATTATCCTCTGAAGATGATCCCAGGGGCTCAGTAAAGTTTGCAAATTCCAGACTACAAACACCACATTTGAGCTAAGACCTGAAGGGTGAGCAGGAGCTAGCTTGAGCAGAAAGAGCATTCTAGGCAGAGGGAACAGCAGGTGGAAAAGCACTTGGCAAAGAGAAGGCCAAACTCTTTGATGACAGATGGTAAGGGTATAAGGATGAAGCTACAATCTGAGGAAGAGCCAGCGCAGTCCTGTAAGTGGCATTCAGATCTATGGGGCTTATTTTAGCAGCAGTGGTAATTTGCTGGACAGTTACTGAACCACAGGGGAATGAATGACATGAACCACAAGAGCGGGAGCAACAAACAAGGGAGGAGGGAGGCTGTCACCAGAATCTGAAAAGACACGAGATCGATGAGAGCTACAGGGATCTTGGTGCAAGCTAGAGCAGTTTGGAAGGCTCGAGTTGTGGGGGTTGTTTTTTTGGGGGGGATCCCAGGGACTTGGTGGCTTACTGATGGGGAATGGAAAGGGTAATGAAGATGACAGGGAAAGCTGCAGGAGTCCCAGACTATTCCAGCAGAGGAACAGAGGTATTATCTGTGTGGTGGGTGAATGAAGCGGTCAAAGCGGCTTTGGGGAGCCTGCAGCCTGACACACAGGGAGGACTTCCGGTGCAATGCAATTGCTTATTGCCAAGCTTGAGGAATATACAAAGTCTTATGGCAGCAGAAAGAAAGGAGTCACTGATTCTGGCCAGAATTAGAAGAAAAGGAATCACAGAGGAACAGTCATTAAAGCCAGCTCCTGGAGATGAGTATTTAGTAGGTTGAAAGATCTTCCAGGAAGAAGAACAGCATTTTCATATCTACAAATAGTAATGCCAATCCTACAAAACATTTGAGAGGATTAAATAGGATGATTTATGTGAAAATATCTAAAACTGTGTCTTGGAATTTATTGATGGTGCTTATACACACCTGTCACCAACCCATCTACCAGCCTGTGTTGTACATGTTCATCTTATTCTTTGTCAGCCGAAAGGAGACTAAAACTCAAATTGGCTTCCTTGCCTCTTCCTAACACACCTGAATAAGTATATGAAATAGTCAACATGTGTGGCTCTGCTCTACTAGTTACTGAAGGTTGCAAAAATGGAATTAAGGTGTAAGGCTAGTTGTTTTTATGCATTGCCTTTTTAGTTATATTCCTTTAAGTTTTAAAGTAAAATTCATTTTGAAAATTCTTGGTCTCTCCATCTGTCTCTCTACTTCCTTCAGTCATTAGCGCAGGATCTAGCTCAAGGAGATGCTCAACAGAAGCCAATGAAATAATATGAATCAGGAGAACATTTACGGGGTACTTCCCATTTTCCAAAAACTGTATTAGGTCTGGGGGCACAGAGATAGTTAAAGCAAAGGTCCTGTCCTCAAGAAAGTCAAAGACATAAATCTAAAGGAATAAAAACACATACATCCATACTTACATTCAGGATGATAAATGTGTCCCAATAAGTATATACAGTCTCTCTCCTGCCCCCCAAAATTCAGAAGTTAACAGAATACAGCCAAACCAAAATATTTTTCAATCCATAAGCATTTGCAGGCTTGAAATCTCCAAAGCAGAAACTTGAAGGTACCAAAGCATACTATAGTATGGTCAGTGGAATTCCTTGAAGTTACCATAAATATTGGCCAAGCCTTTCCCCAGTCCTACATCTCGTCATAAATCCCCCTGCTTCTTTTCAAGAACTTTTACATTTGATCAACGATGCAGGGTGATGTTTAAACCAGGCCATTTGGAATATTCGATTTTCATACATAGTTTTAAGATTTTAATTTCCAGTCTGCAAGCCGGCTTAGATTTTCCCTGTCCTGAAATAAATCAGGATTTCCAAGACATGAAAGCAGGCTCCAAGCACAGAAGGGCTCTCTGAACGTTCAGCCTGGTTGCATTGCTCAGTCAAGTCATACTTACAAACAACTTACCTCTCACCTCATCTCAGTCCCGAGGGGATAGCCTGGAAAACTGGCAGCTAATGTGGTGAGAGAAAAATACCCAGCACTCAAGATCAATCTGTCAAAAAGAGGCAAGAGCCATTCATCAAAGGAGAAGGGGACAAACTCAAAGATGTGAAACATTTACCCAACAATTCTGAAACTAATTGGCCCCTCTACTTAATCTCTTTCTCCCCTCCATGTCAAGCCGGTGACCCACAGAGCCATAGAGGGATAGAAGCTCATAACTGTAGAACAGATGATGTACATAGGATATTGCTAACATATCACAGAATCATCATGATAAGGCTAAAAAGGTCTTTGGAGTTCATTTACCCCGGTTTGGACAGGTAGCACTAGGGAGTAAGAAGAGTCCTGAACTCAGGTCGGACTGGAATAGGTTCAAGTCTTTCACTCATTATTTGCAAGCTATGTGATCTTAGGGAAGTCACTTCAACCTGTCTGAAAATTGCCTCATCTGTCAAAAGGGAAAAATGTCTTACTCATAGGGATGCTATGAGAGTATGATAATATAAGTAAATGCACCTTGGAAATGTTACTGAACATTTAAGTGGGTGAGAAATTATTATTATTGCAAAGAATACAATAAATGCTACTTGAATCCCAATCAATAGTAGAGTAGACTTCACTAACCTTCACCTAACTGACCAAGTAGAATCAATAGCTTCCATTCATTTTGCAAAAGACAGAGTCATGCCCCTGGCACAGAGAATGTCCAGTGCTAGTGTCCTGGTCTCCAACATGCTAGAAACTTTATCTCCCACTAGTTCAGTTGATATGATGATCACAAGTCACCGATATTTGGTTCCCTATTCTGTATTCTGTTGTATTTCTGAAAATATTTTTTAAATTTGATTAAATATTATATAAACTAATAAAATATGAATTATATAAAAGGAGTTGTTATATGAAAATATACATGACTGCTATGCAAAAACTATTTAAAGACAACTTGGTAAAAGACACTATTGTCAAATTAATAGCGAACAGACTATTGTAAAAGACTAGGAAAAGAAATCACAAAACTCTAGGAGGCCCATACATGAAAATTTCCTCCAAATTTCTTTTATATCTTGCATGACTTTAAAGAAACTGAAAATTTCAGAGCTTATGAACCTAATAATTCAAGAGAGTGAACTGGGCATAGTTGACATCCATCGATGGCTACATGGACAAAGCAAAAGCCTTAGTCTTTCTTTGCAAGATTGTTATATGAATTTTGCATTAATAGGACTTTCATTCCAACTAAATCAAATAATTAACCAACTACTAGTTTTAACTGGCTTGTAAGTAATTATTTATTGTCACTTACATACATGACTATCTGCTGATCTGTAGGAACTTTGAATATAAATCATGTTTAATGTGACCTTGCCATTGAGGAACCCACAATCTAGTTACACCCTAGTAAAATGTGAAATACTTGCAGTTCAATTCTTGACATACAATTTAACTTAAAATTACCCTCCAAGTATAATGGTACCAAGAGAAGAAACTAGATTTTTAAGAATAGCTGGAGCACTATTGTTTCTATTTGCCATTGCCAGGAACTACCTGATTTTGTTATCTCATCAATTCAGGGATAATGTTTCCTTATTATCAATTCGCCTTCAGCACTTAGAACAGAGTAGCTTTTCAACCGGTATGAGCAACTGGCATGAAAGGTATGAGAAAACATACACTGCACTTTGAAGGTGGGATTAAATGTAGGGGACAGTCCAGGAGGCAGGAAGAGACTGAGCAAGACCAAGAGAAGAAATGTCTCCTGAATCCATTTGTTTTTGCAAACATTACTTGAGCCTCTCCCTGGACATCAGAACCTCTCTTCCTGTGTGCCAAATCTGACCAGTAGCCTTGTTTAACCCAGACAATGGGGATTTTGAAATTTGAACTAGTTGCCATCATTTATCTATCAGTAGATGTCATGTAGAGATTTGCAGTTTCTCCTAAAATATGTAAAGGTCCAGCAATACCAGCATTCCCATATGGAAGCAATGAGCAGGCACTTTTCTATGTAGCCACTCTTCCCTGTAGATGAGACATGACCTCCCCATTATGTCATGGCCACCATTGCTCCCTGGTTGGCTTTGCTCATTTATATTCCTGTGTGCCCCTTTGGCAGTTAAGGTTTAACCCCTTCCTGGCTTTGTGCCTTGCTCTCTGGAGATGCTGGGCCCCTGCCCTGGAGGCACTGTGAAATAACAGGGAGTGATCCAGGTGGCAGGTGACCTTAACCTGAACAAAGAAATGGCAATGGGAAAGGAAACAGAAATATTTGCTCCAGACATTTTTTTTAAGATTTTTAAAATTTATTTTAGTGATGGAGAAGGGGTAGAGGGAGAGAGCTGACTTCCTGCTGAGTGCAGAGCCAGATGCTGCTCAATTTCATAACACTGAGACCATGACCTGAGCCAAAACCAAGAGTCAGATGCTTAACCAACTGAGCCACCCAGGTGCCCCTATGCTCCAGACATCTTTCAAAAAGTAAAATCATGGGGATCAGTGAAAGATCTTTTCTAGAAAAGCAGAGGCAGGGTTTAAGTAATTTCAGGGAGGGGATTCCTGGATGGCTCAGCCGTTCAACATCTGTCTTCTGCTCAGGCCGTGATCCCAGAGTCTTGGGATCGAGTCCCGCATCGGGCTCCCCACAAGAAACCTGCTTCTCCTTCTGCCTGTCTCTCTCTCTCTCTCTCTCTCTCTCTCTCTCTCTCTCTCTCTCTTTCTGTGTGTGTGTGTCTCTCATGAATAAATAAATAAAATCTTAAAAAAAAATAATTTCACCAAAAGAAAGGCAATTGAAATGGGATAATTAGGGAAGAAAGAAGCAAAGGAAGGAGCAAAGGAGGAAGGAAGGGGGAGGAGGCAAGAAGGGAGGGAGAGAGAGGAGAAAATATTTAAGTGGCTGCTTTAGCAAGTATTTTCCACATAAGCTGGTTCTAGGGGGATACTGGGATAAAATTTTGAACATTCTGCATTTTGAGGCTATTGCACTCCAAGGGATGATGTCCATTGGGCAACAGGGAAGAAAATTGATTTCTTCAACACTCTTTAATAATAAAAATAGTAATGACAAAACATCTAATCTGCATTGGAGATGTATTCTTATGCCAGATACTATGTATACTTAGATTCCTAAGTATAAGCAATCTTTTGTGATCTATCCAACAATCATCAGAGGTGGTGGTAATAATAAAAACAATAAATAGAAGCAGCTGATAGAAAGTACAGGGTCGGCTGCCTGAGTGGCTCAGTCAGTGAAGCGTCTGCCTTTGGCTCAAGTCACGATCCTGGGGTCCTGGGATTGAATCCTGCATCAGGCTTCCTCCTCTGTGGGGAATCTGCTCCTCCCGCCCCCTCTGCCTGGTACTTCCCTTGTTTGTGTGCACATGTGTGTGTTCTCTCTGTCTCTGTAAATAAATAAATAGAATCTTAAAAAAAAAAAAAAAAGGGTACAGAGTCACCGTGCCAGACCCTGTTTTCAAGCCTTTGCGTATTTTAACTCATTTGATTTTCACAGCATCCTTGTGAGATAAGTATTTTGTTACTGACTGCATTTTATGGATGAAAAAGTTAAAATCAGGAGGACTTAGAAAACTTTCCCATGATTACATGACTAGTAAGTACATCGTTGGACTTTCCACCCACATCTGTCTGACTCCGTGGTTTAAGTGTTGGGCCATTACAGTCTCCGAACACTCTGTGCCAGGAAATATGCTTGGCACTAAGCTCAAACAATAAAATAAGATAGGCGGTCTCTCCTGTCAAGGAACTCATGGTCCCAAAGGGAGGAGCAGATGTATGCACAAACACTCCAGGCTAACACTCAAGTGCTGTCTTAGAGATGTTCAAGTACCAGGTGCTATGAAAGCACAGAGGGTGGAGAGCAGAATCTATCTGGAGGCACAGAGGCTGGGGCATTGGACAGGCAAGTGAGTCTGCACAAAATCCCAGGGCGAGGAAGCAGACTCTGGAAAGATGGATATACATTTGCTAGGCTAGGAAGAGGTAGGGTGGGGGTGGGGGTTAGGAATGGAAAAAGACATCCAAGTGTGGAAGTTTAGACTTTCTTTGGGGGAACATCAGGATGTCTCCAATGGCTGGGAATTCCCAAAGGCAGCAGAGGGTGGAGGAAGAGGAGAAAGGTAAGAGCCGACAGACCTGGACGGAAGACCTGAAGGGCCATGCTAAGTGAGGAAGGAATGAAGGAAGCTAGTCTTTCCCGTGAGCACGGTCATGCAAAATGGGTGGGCTTTTGTCCTGCAGGTAAGGTGGAGAAATTGAGAGTAAGATGCTCAGATCTGTACCTGAAAAATGTCCCTCTGACAACAAGGTAGACATTGGATTGTGAAGGGGTTTCAACAGTTTGAGAAGAGGCTTTTAAGAGACTGTGGTGATGGCTCAGGTAGAAAAGAATGAGGGCCCTGAACTCTAAAGGGCAGAGGGAAAAAAAGAGAAATTTCTGAATTCTAAGGTTAACAGATTATGCAAACATGTCTTTGCAAGGGGAACATAATCTCTGGCTTTATAGCGATCATTTGGAAGACAGTACAGGGGTAATATAACTTCTAGAAACTCCGTTCATTTTGACTATGAATAACATTTACTCAATTGAAAAGGAACATGGCTATTTTTGTCCCTATATTTATAGCCACGATTCACCTCTTACAAGGGATCTGAGGTGAAACTCACTAAATGAAATGCAACATTTGGCAAGTGGCTTCTTCCTAAGAGAACTAATCCGGCCACATAAATCAGGCTGTCGTGTCAAATGAGACGAGTTCAAGTTGAAGATGTCAAGAAATATCCTCTACGTCAGCCTGGGACCACAAGTTACTGTCCCTTCCTTTGTCTGGAGAAACAAATGGTGAGAAAGTGTCCGGTTTGCTGTACTGCTAAGTTGAGCATTTCTCCGGGAAAAGGAAGAAATATTGAAACCGGCAGGGAGTTTCAAACAGAGCTTCCACACCCTTTCCTGAAGACACTTAAAATTATATAAGAAGACACGTAAATAAATCAAAACTTTAAATAGGTAACACCTTAATCTTAAAACAAATGGACTGTAAGGAAAGTAAATTTTATATATAAAATAAATGAATACATATAAATAAAACAACTCACATTTGTGCACAGAACATTTTTGGCTTCTAAATCTCACTGAATTCTTGCAATTAGGCTAGGAAAGAACTATTATCCCCATTTTATAAATGAAACACTGAAAGTCAGAGATTTAGGGACCTCTTGAAAGACATACACCTTTAGTTGTTAGTGATAGAATTAGTTCTAAGCATCAGTTTTGCTAATTCTCATTTTAAGGAAAATGGGGTATTATAAAAACAGTAGGAGCTAACACTAGAGTGGTTACTATGGGTCCCCTGGGTTAGTCATGATGCTCTGCCCATTATATACATTATCACATTTAAATTCTCAAACCCGCTATGACAGAGGCGGTATCATGGTTACCACTTTACAGAGGAGGAAATTGAGGCTAGATTTGGTCATTACATCAAGGTCACACAGATCATTGTTGGTGGAGTTGGGGTTCAAAGCCTGGCACTCGGTGTCAAATCTAGCCCTTTAAACAAACACACATCTATTTCAATCTTAAATCTTGCCTCTACTAGCTATCAACTGTCTAGCCTTGGACAAATTATTGCATGTTTGGGACCTCTGTTAAACAAAATTGTGTGTGTGTGTGTGTGTGTGTGTGTGTGTGTGTGTGAGAGAGAGAGAGAGAGAGAGAGAGAGAGAGAGAGAGAAACCTGGTTTAGCATCTTACTCTTTATAGGCCACCAATAAATATTAGTTCCCCTTTTTTCAACCACAATGCATTGTCACCAGTCATTTTTATGACAGAAATAACCATGTTAATCTAACATCATAAAATAGCAGCACTTCTATTGACAGTGGCAAAAAAAAAAAAAATAGAGAGTATATCTTAAACTCATCTTAGAGTCATATCTCACTGCTATCCTCAAAGTTTTCTCCCTGGGTTCTTAGCATAGAATTAAAATAAGGAAACAAAACTACATTTGTTCATAAAATTAATCATCTTGGCAACAAAACCCCATTTGTTGTGGAATTCCCCAATGACCTAAGCATATTAAGTCTATGATACTTAGTAATACTATAACTTAAATAAGTAAAAACTTGTTAATCAAAGACGGGTCCCAGAAAATTATCCTTTAAACCTACAGGCTTTAGAACTTCAAAACTGAGGCACTTGGATTTGAAACTACGTCATGCTTGAAAACCAGAGTTCCAGTGTTCTGGTTTCTGAGCCCAGGTAAATGTGCTCCTTTTTAAACATAAAAGAACTTGTGGATTGCCCCCTGTCATAATAAGAAAAACAGTATTATTAGTTTATGTTGAGTTTTAAAGCTGCAGTCATAAAAGTGGCTGTGTGTTCATGAATGCATAATATAATTTCTATTTTACCAATCCTGAATATCTAATACACTATGTCAAAAAAAATGATAATACTTTGAGCTGCTAGGCATATTTTTACAGCATGCAAACTCTTGTGCCTATACGGATTTATGGATCCCTTTCCAAAAAAATCTGTAGCATCTCACAGTGATCTACAGGGTAGAACCCAGTGTTCTAAAATATTAGGACTAGAAGGGGGCATTTAAGGTCATATAAACCATCTCAGTACCCAATTAATTCTTCCTAGCTTTAACATTTTGAATGCTACGCACGTGCTATCTATAGGAACATACTTAAAGAGGTGGCAGTTGGGGACGCTGGAGCAGAGGAAGCCTGGACAAACAGATAAGGGTGTGCTAAGCACCTCACAAATTGGTCTACCCTGCTGTGGAGATATTAGGAAAATCTTCAGAAGGAACTTAAATCTGCTGCAATCTTTGATGTCCCTGTATCAGTCAGGGTCTCACCAGGAAAATCAAAACCACACTAGTGATTTCAAATGGGAGGGGGAGGGATAATACAGGCTCCTAGTTTTTTTTTTTTTTTTTTTTAAGATTCTATTTATTTATTCATGACAGACACAGAGAGACAGAGAGAGACAGAGAAGCAGAGGGAGAAGCAGGCTCCAGGCAGGGAGCCCGACATGGGACTCGATCCCGGGTCTCCAGGATCTCACCCCAGGCTGAAGGCGGCGTTAAACCGCTAGGCCACCGGGGCTGCCCCAGGCTTCTGGTTCTAAAAGCACTAGAAGGCAAAGGAAGCCAAAAGGGGGTGGGTGGGTAATCCCAGGATTAGTAACTGCAGAAAGCTACAACCCAAAGAGCTGGAAGCACTAAAGAAAGGAGGCAGCATAGGCTGTGCCCATGAGCACCCTCACTGCCCACCCTGCAGCTGCCTAAGGAGATGGCAGCTATGGCACCTGCTGCTGTAGCCAGGACCGCTCCACCTACCACCTACTGACACTGCTCTAACCTCAGTCACAGACAATCAATTGCCCATCAGATCTACTGCTACTAGATCTACTGAAGGCAGCTGTCACACACAGCCACCCCTTTCTATCTGACAACACCAAAAGCAGAAATAAAAGAGCAATGACCTTCCCCCTTCCAATCCCCTTTCCCCAATTCTACCTCTGCTTTGCAGTCTAGGGCTCCTTCTTCCCACTGGTGAAACAGAGGAATGCCAGCCATCAGGGGTGTTTGAGGAGTGCCACCTGCAGAAGTCTGCCCATGCCCTACTGGCCTGAGCGCAGAAACCTTGGAAAGCTGCTGGCAGCGACACCAAATGATCTGTGTGGCCCACACCTGCAGCTCTCTGTTTAGGTCTCATCTTTTTAGCTACCTTTGACTTCCATCAATAATAGAATTGTGATTCTACATAATCCGATGCACTTCCTCCTAACACAAAGATCCCTCTGCCTATGTCTCTGCCTCTCTCTGTGTGTCTCTCAAGAATAAATAAATAAAATCTTTTTAAAAAGGAAATTCTGTAACCTAAAACTGAAATAGGAAGAAAGTTACCAATAATACTCTTCATATAAAATATCAAGTGTAAGGGAAAGAGACCAAAAGAAAGAATTGGCCAATACAAAGGATACAGAAAATATAAGAAAGAATGCAGATACAGCTGCTTCAGTTTTTGTTTCTGTAATGGGTCATTTATTCCAAATGTGGTATTTATCTCCATCTCCTTGCTCTTGGCCAACACCCTGATGGAGAGACTCAGAGTTCACCTGTATTATTTCCCATCACTCTGAGCCTTCCTAAATCCTGGTGCAGCACCTTCCAGACTTAGCTCTGAAAAGTTAGCGTAATTGGTTGTACACTATCTTAAGTTTAGGTCAGTGTGACTGTGACAATCAGTGAATATATGACCTTATGAAAAATGCTAGTAACTTCAGTTGATGATTTTCTTTCTGATTATGAAAATATTTTTACCATTTACATGTAACATCCTTATCAATGGATGTGTTTAAGACCACCATCTTGTTTTCTATTTGATCCATCTGTTTTTTGGTTTCTTTTATTCTCCTTTTTTGATTTCTTGTAGATTAACTGCATAATTTCTAGTGTCATCTATTTTATCCTTTTATTGGTTTGTTAACAATAACATTTTGTTTTATTTATTTAGTAGTTGCTTTCGGATTTACAATGAACATCTTTAATTTAACACAGTCCACTTTCAAATAATAGTAAATTACTTCACATGAAACATAAGAAGCTCATAACAGTATATTTCCTTTTTAAATTTTCTTATTTTATTTTTTATTTTAATTCCAGTGTAGTTAAATACGTATTACATATATATTATTACATATTAATTTCATGTGTGCAATTTAGTGATTCAGCACTTCCATCCAACACCTGGTGCCCATCATCACAAGTACATCCTTAATCCCCATTCCCTATTTCCCCCATCCCTACACCCTCCACAAGCATCAGTTTGTTCTCTGTAGATAAGAATCTGTCTCTTTTTTTCCTCTGTTTGGTTTCTTAAATTCCACATATGAGTGAAATCATATATTTGTCTTTCTCTGACTGACTTATTTCTCTTATCATAATACTCTCTAGCTCCATCCATGTTGCCATGTTGTTGCAAATGGTAAGATTTCATTCTTTTTTATGGCTGAATAATTTTCCATTGGGTATGTATGTATGTGTGTGTGTGTGTGTATATGCATATATATTACCTCTTCTTTTTTTAAGATTTTATTTATCTATTTAAGAGAGAGAGAGAGCATGAGTGGTGGGAGGGGCAGAGGGTGAGGGAGAAGCCTACCCCTCACCGTGCAGGGAGCCTGTTACAGCACTCGATCCCAGGACCCTAATATCATGACCCCGGCAGAAGGCAGACATTTAACTGAGTCACCCAGGCACCCCTATAGATCAACTCTTCTTTATCTATTCTTCTATCAACGGACACTTGGACTGCTTCCATAGTTTGGCATTATAAATAATGCTGCTATAAATATAGGGGTGCATGTATCCCTTTGAATTAGTGTATGACAGTGTATTTTCATCTTCCCTTTCCCTTACTTATTTGTCATATATTTTACCTCTGTATATGTTATAAATTTCACAATATACTATCATTATTTTTTATTTTAAAGAATCAGTGCCCTCTTAAAGATAATCTTTTTAAAATTTTTTTAAAGATTTTATTTATTTATTCATGAGAGACACAGAGAGAGAGAGGCAGAGACACAGGCAGAGGGATAAGCAGGCTCCATGCAGGGATCCTGATGTGGAACTTGATCCCGGGTCTCCAGGATCAGGCCCTGGGCTGAGGGCAGTGCTAAACTGCTGAGCCACCTGGGCTGCCCAACAGATAATCTTTTTTAAAGAGAAAAATATTTTATACTTACCCATATATTTACCAATTCCAGTGCTGTGCTTTCATCATGTAGATCCCAGTTTCCATCTGGTGCCATTTGCCTTCAGACCGAAGAACTTCCTCGAACATTTCTCATTATGTGGGTGTCAGGTGACACATTCTGTCATCTTGTACTTGTTTGAAAATGTCTGTCCTGCCTTTCAGTTTTGCATGGTGTGCACTTTCTCCATTAGAGCCCTTGGCATTTTCATCAGAGTTACTTTTAAATTCTCGGTCTGATCATTCCAAAATCTCTGCCCTAGCTGAGTCTGGTTCTGATGTTTGCTTTCTCTTTTCAGATTGTGTTTTTTTTGCCTTTCATGTGCCTTCTAATTTTTTGTTGATAGTCAGACATGATGTATCAAGTAGAGAAATGAAGTAAATAGGCCATTAGTGTGAGGTTCAGTGTACATCTGGCTAGGAGTTAAGCTGTGTTTACTATTTGTTGTAGCTGTAGATGTCAGAGGATAAATTTCCCTCTGATGCCTTTGTTTTTGTCTCCCCTGTTGTTTTTGGATTTCCTTAGAGACTCCTTATTAAATAGGACCTGAGGCTTGCAATTCTTTCAGCTGTAACTCTCTGTTATTACCCAGTAGCCAAGCTGATATGGTGGTGTGTGGTACAGACTCCAGCAGCAGGCTTCTGCTCCTGGGCTTTCTCCCAGGAAGCTGTGATTCCTTGTATTCACCTGTCCCTCCAATTTTCAGGGACCCCAGCTCTCTCATAAATCTTAGAAGAGTTGCTGATTTTCACTTGGTTTGGCTTTTTTCTTCCTGTGAAACGGGAGTAACAATTTCCAAGGTCTTTACATGTCAGATCTGAAACTGGGAGTCTCATTGCCTTCCATTTACAAGGGGATATTTTTTCTGGACATAGACATTTAGTTTGACAATCTCTTTCAGCACATTAAAGATGTTGTTCCATGCTCTTCTGTCTTGTATGTTTCTGATGAGAATTCAGTAGTCATTCCAATATTTTTCTCCTTTATATTTGATGTGTCTTTTTCTCTGGCTGCTTTTACAATTTTCTCCTTATTGCTGGTTTTCAGCAATTTGACTATGATGTGTCTGGTTGGTTTTTAGTTTTTTGTGTGTTTATCCTGTTGAGATTCTTGGAAATATTTTGACAATTATTTCTTTATGTGATTTTTTTTTACCATCACCTATCACCCTGTCTTTTCTATTTGCATGAATATTTCTGTAGATGATTAAGGTTTTCAGTGGGTTGATTTTGTTGTTGTTGTTGTTGTTGTTGTTTTATACTTTTTTCCTCTATGTGCTCTCACTCAGATAGTTTCAAGCTTGCTAGTCTTTTTTTTTTTTTTTGTCATTAAGCTCATCCAGTGAGATTTCATTTCATTTACTGAAAATTTCACCTCTATAGTTTCCATTTGCTTCTCTTTTTATTTTTCACCTCTTGACTCCTATGTTTCTAGTATTCTTTAAATCCTTACAAACATTTATAACAGCAGTTCAGGAATCCTAGTCTGTTAATTCTATCATCCCTTGTGACTTCTGGACCTATTTCTACTGATTGACTTTTCTTCCAGTTATGGGTAACATTTTTGTTTCTTTGCCTGTATAGTAAATTTTTATTGAATGCTGGGCATTGTAAGTTTTACATTTTTGAAGATCTGGATTTTACTGTCTTTTTTTAAAGAGTCTGAAAGTTTTATTTTGTTGGGCACTTAATTTGTTTGTGAATCACCTTCATGCTCTCAAAGCTTGTATTTACACTTTATTAGGGTAAATCTAGAGTAAGACTTGCTCTGCTTGTTCCCTTGCTCTGCTACTGTCCCATGAGCCTTCATGGGACAGGATGTCCTGGATGTCCAACAAGGTCTCTATACTCTGGCTATTCAGAACTCCAAGTCCTTTGTGGGCTTTAGGAATTGTTTGGCTTATACCTCTTCGCAGATAGTTTTTGCTGGATATTTGTTGTATGCTTGACTTCAGAGAGTCCCACCTGACTCAAGGGACCCCTATGCATATTTCTGGATCTCCTTATGGGCTTACCTCCCTCTTCTGTGGTACTCTGCCCTGCAATTCAAGTGACATAGGCCTCCTCAAACATTTATTTCCTCAACTCAGGGAAACTAAAAAGCTTTACTTGGGTCCCCACTCCCTGTCCCACATTCCAGAGAATGCCTCAAGGCTAGAAGCTGATTATGAGACTCACTTCATTTGTTTACCTTCTCTCATGAAGCATGACTCCATACTCTGCAATGTCTTTTAAAAGAGATATAACGTATATTATTCAATTTTTCTAGTTGCTTATAGCCAGTGAATGAGTCTATAATCAATTACCAATAGATATTTTTAGCATTTCAGTATAGCAAAAGGTATATAGGAGATTCCACACATTCGTTTATGCATTAATTTAACAGAGTTATTAAATATCTAAGAAATTCCTGGCAATGTGCCTCAAGAGAAAGCAAAATTGTACACTAGGAAAAGTCTAATACTTGGAGTCAAGAGGTCTTGGTTTCAATCTTGGTTCTCTATTTTTTCATTGTGTGACAAATCACTCAACCTGAATCTTATTCCTTACTGTTAGACCAGGATAATAACATGCCTACTTTGCAGGATTATTGGTAGGGCTACATATATTGTATACAAAACAACTAGTGAATTTCTGGCACATAGCCTGAGCCTGATTAATTGCAATTATTATTTTTATCAAATGTACTATGAATATAATTGAGGAGACAATAAATCTGCAGACTGGAGTGAAAAATGCCTCCATCGGAGGCTAGCAATAACCTTGTGCCCAGAAGTAAAGGCATAAACTGGGAGACATCCAAGAGAAAGAAAGAACAATGAAAACTGAGAGCTTAAAGAAATAAACTTTCCCTCCAGTTAAGTAAGAGAAAGCCTCACAGTATGCAGTCTGAGACTTTCAGAATAAGTCATACAGGCTTGGCCAAGCACTGAAAAGCAGACCAGCAGCTACTGATAAAGCAACTGGATTCCTTAGAGACAAAAGACAGAGTACCAGGAACAATGGGACCCAGTGTCAAGAAAGTTAACTGTAGCATATGACCACTGATAGCAAGACGGCCCTCAATGTCAGACGGCCCTCAATGTCAGTATCCATAACTCAGATGGAGAGCTACAGCTAATTCTCAGATTTCATGACATGCAGAAAGAAAACTGTGCCAAGTTAATGAGCCAAACATGAAGAAAATAATGTTTCCAGTTAATTAACCATAGGAGTAAAACTCTCTGATTTGAGTGTGTTTTCTATTTTTCAGAAATACTTAGAAGAGCTGCAAGAAAAGATTATGGGTAAAGGAGGAGCGGTAAAATGCTACATCATAAATAACTCATGCTACTAATTAACTGGGGATTTAAATGAAAGAGTGAATCATGTAGGTATAAAGCTTTACATCAGGCCATTTCCCAAAGCACACCAAAATCTACTTTCTGTGCTTTCTGTTCCAACACCATTTTTCAAAGTAATCTTAACAGGAATATCTTTAAATAAATTAACATTGTGTTAATTTCCTTGTGTTCAGATTTATCTCCCTTAATAGAATGTAAGCACCTTGAATTCAGTCAATGATGCCTTATTTTTCTTTATATCCTACTAGCACCAATTGCTGATGTGTGGCCCATATTGGGTGCTCCATAAGTGTTTTAAACATAAAAGTTTGACTGAATTAATGGATGGAAAGAAAATCAACCTTTCTGACATAATTAGCAAGAAAAAAATTATGAAGGGATGACTTTTCAAAAGAAGCTGGCCACTGACCAATCAGAACTCTGACGGTTATTAGTGTTAGGGCACATTTTTGCCTAAAGCTTTCAGACAAATCATTACCCTGTCCCTCCCCAACCTCCTAACCCAATTTAGCCTTAGAAATACTCATGGTTATGTTGAGACAAGCTCTCAGATGCACTAAGAGCAGAAAATAAACCAGAGCAATTGATGACATGAGAACTTGATGAGATTTTAGAAATTTTATATATAGTCTCACTTTGGTTGGTTTACACTTTACAATTAAAATTCTTTAAAATACAAGACAATACCAATCAATAAATCCAGGCAGAAATAAGACTTGTTAAGTGACATTATGTAAGAGAAGCTGTTTATGAGATTCTGTCCTCTATTTGTATCAGAATCATCAGATACGGGCTTATTTATCAGTGACATTCCTGGGATTACTTCTTAGAGTGGATCCTTTGAGAGTGACCAAACTATGCTATTGAATAGATGATATAATGTCTTCAGGGTGGTTAATTTAAGAACAATGATATATGATGTACCAAATAATAGCAATAACTGGATTCGTTTAAAACACAACTGAGAGCCTGAGGCTACTGTCCAGCCTGTTGTGAATTCATTTATATGCACAGTCCAAGTTCAATGACACTTTATCACATAAAGGTGTCACTTTTGGTATCAAGGCTTTTATTACTATTTAAACAGACCTCTAATTTCCACAGTCATCTATATTTGCCCAAAGTCCAAGAACCAAATCTATATTAATTACACCTTAGAAGTTTAAGTGTCATACATTTCTCTGGTCCTGCAAAATCATCTCTTTCTATTCTCTGATGGCCTATCCTCTCTGTAGTCAATATTTATTTTTATTTGAAGCCAATAGCCTTGTGTTGCCTATGCTCTAATAAGTGTGAGAAATGCTTTAAAATCCTTTTCATACAAATAGTAACTGCTTGACAAGATCCTAAGCCTCAAAAATTTGCCTTTTCCCCATTAGACAAAAATCAGTGAGGGATTTTTTTAAGATTATATTAGATATAAATATTTAGTAAAATTACAATACTAGTTGTATAATGTAACAAGTTTTGACAAATGTGTGCCCCCTGTAAAACTTACATTTCTATCAAAATACAGAATATTTCCATTGCATTACCAGGCAATCTCCTATGTCAAAGAGAGTCCTTCTAAAATTTGTATTCTATAATAAATTGGGTTTTGCCTCTTATAAAACCTCATATCAATTAAATTACATGAATGTACTATGTTTTATCCACCTTTTTTGGCTTACCATACTGTTTAAGAAACTTATCCATGA